TGTATTTTTGGAATAAACAAAGTTCTTTTTCCTTCTGTCAGTAAACTGTTTTTTTTTTTACAAATAGTATAAATAAGCAATTATTGGAAATAAAGCAAAACTCAGATTTTGGTATTATTTCCCATTTAAAAGTGAAATAAAGCAAATTTTGCGTTATTGCCGTTTGTGTTGTGTGATCTGGCTGCCAACAACCTACATGGCCCACAACAGCCATGTTTTTCCACCCTATAGACTGGAAGAAAAAGTGAAATAAGCAAATCGCAGAAAACTCCCGATCATAATAGGGGCCGACTCTAATTCGCATAACATGATCTGGGGCTCAAGCGACACCAACTTCCGAGGTGAGGGTTTACTTGACTTTATTCTTTTATATAATCTTACTGTATGTAACCGTGGGTGCGATCCCACTTTTGTGACCTCTGTTAGAAGGGAAGTGCTGAACATCACCCTTGCGTCGAGCGGTTTGTCTGATCGGATAAGGGACTGGCAGGTGTTCAAAGAACACTCTTTTTCTGACCAACTTTACATTAATTTAAGCTCACTTTTGATCCTGATAAAGGGGCGGCACTTACTCTCTCAACCGAGTTCAAATACCTTGGAATTGTTTTAGACAAGAAACTGGACTGGAAGCGAAACATTGAAGACCGCTCCAGGAAGGCCAATAATACCCTGTATGCCTGCAAGGCGGCTATAGGCAAACAATGGGGAATTACATATAGTACACTGGGTGTACACAGCCGTGATAAGACCCATCCTTTTCTACGGGGTCAGCGTATGGTGGCCTACGCTAAACAACACCTTGTCCAGAGCCAAGAGGAAAAATTGCCAAAAATCAACGCGATTTTTTAGCAACTTGGAACTTGCACTTTATTTAAAAAGTTGCAAATTCATAAAATTTGTATGTGTTCTGCATAAAGTTAAGACATTTTATTTTTATATTTTTGTTGTAATATGATACGTTTTTTATAAAAAAATTTTATCTGGAGGGTAATTTTGAAATATTTTCTAATGTAATAAAGGATTTTATTAAAAAAACAAATTTCGTTATTTCATTAACTGTTATTTTGAACTGAATAAAATATGTTGATTTGCTAATTATAAATTTATTTAATACATATTTAATTTTTCGCAGTGCATACGATTTGAAAATAACCTGAAAAAGCACTGGGAAAAAACTCGAAAATATTTAGAAATACGACTGAAAACTCAAAAAAGGCTCACAAATGTCTACAAATACGACTAAAAAATTACTCGGAAAATACTCGTAAATGATAAAAGATACAACTGAAATATCATTTGAATAAGACTCACAAATGAATATAAATACGACTCGAGAAAGAGTCAAAACTGATCAGAAAAGTGGGTAATAAAAGACTCTTCAAGAAGAGTCGCGAGCAGGGACCATTTTCTAAAAAGAGTCTTTTATGATCAGAATATGAGGGCATTTATGATTATTTTAATCGCGCAGAGGACTCAAAAAAGTCTCGAATATGATCAATAATTTCAGA